AAACAATATGTTTTGTATTTCTGCTTTTCTACATTTTTAGGTGAGGTCTTTATGCCCTAGTACATGTTCAATTTTTGTAAAAGAGCCATGTATAGCCGACAAGTATGCAAATTTCTTTATATTTTCATTCACTAATCACCAGGAATTTATTATCTCTCATTTTTTAAAAGTTCAATTCAGGCCCTTAACTCCTTTCTTCGATGTCTTATGGTTAGATCTTTTATTATAATTTTACTATTTCTCCCTTTATCTCATCAACTTTTCCTTTAACAATCTGGATGCTTTGTAATTAGTACTGATATAGATTCACTACATCATAATGAATTGAATTGATATAGATTCATTATCGATGGTGAGCATAATGTGACTTCCCTGATTATCTCCTTTTATCTTTTCTATATTCACTGTAGTATTACCTGAAATCACTTTTGCTACCCTTATTTCTGTTGAGTTCAGATTTTGCTCCAGTCCCTCTTTTTAGCTCTATGTGAATCTTTGTGTTTCAAGTGTAAAGAACATATTGTGGGATTCTGCTTCCTACATTGTCTTATCCTCTTTTGTCTAATGGGTGACTCACCCCATTCACATTCCCAAGTATGACTGTTAATTTTGTATTTCCCTTCAACCTGTCCTCGTGGACTTTCTTCCCCCTTTAAAAATAAAAGAGGGAATTTTTCATGTGATCATAGAAGTGAAACAGCCTGTTTCCTCTCTGTTACAGTTCTTTTCTCCTTACTCTGTCCCTGGTCCCTCCCAGGTTTTTACTCTTTGTTCCTTTCCTTTGAGTTCTACCTTCCTGTTCCTCCCTCCAACATTTGAGATTGTTTTGCTTATAACTATTCCCTTAACTATCCTGCCTTCCCTCAAGAATCCTCTCTACCCCTCCCTTGTCTTCTGTTTCTCTTCTGAATTTAATGTATTCCTACACTAAGATTTGTATGTATGTATATGTATTTAACCCTCTTTTATCCAATGCAGATGAAAGTGAAGTTCATGGGATGCCCATTGTCATCCCTACCCTCACTCTATGGCTATATGCTTTTCATTGTACACACTTCTATTATTCAATAATGATTTCTTTCCCCTTATTACTCCTTTCCTCCCTAGTATGGTCTCCTGTCCCTTCTATTTTTTGTCTTCTCCTAAGACCATTTAACTTCTCTTGAGACAATTAAAAGAAAACAAAACCACTTACAGATTCCTCTGTCATTTAACTTTTCTTTATGATCCTTAAAAATATTATGGGTCTGTGAAAACATGTTTCTTATTTCCCTATTAACGACTAAACAGTTAATCTCACATATTATTTTTCAATTACACAAAGGTGGACCTTTCTATATTTCTCTTGGCACTTGCATTCACATTTCCAAACATCTACTCAATTCTGGTCTTTTCACCAGGAATGCTTAGAAATCTCCTGTTCCATTAAAGATCCATTTATGCCGTTGTCAGTTTATACTTGGTTCTGTGGGACAGTTATCCTTGGTTGTTAAACTTTATCTCTTGACTGTGGGAATATCACGTTCCAGCTCTCCTCTTTTCTGAAGTAGTGTGTGCTCAGTCCTGTATAACCCTTAGTGTGCTTCCTTAGTGTTGAAACTCCTCCTTTTTGATAGCTTATAATAGTTTTCTTTGACCTTTGACAACCATTTCTTTGTTCCACTATCTCCCCAGTCACCCACACGCATTCTGTCATTCTCAACTCCTGCTCCATCTATCCAATACACTGTCAAACCTTGACATTTCTACTTTTCCAACATCTCTTTAATATTTCTCCTTCTCATCATCTCTCACCTGGGTTTTGCAATGGCCTTCTAACCGGTCTCATTGCCTCTAATCCATCCTGTGCTCAAGTGCCAAAGTGATTTCCCTAAACATTTTTCTCAACATGTCACTTCTCCCTCCTCAAAAACTCCAGTGGCAAGGATCCTGGGAAGAGGGCAGAGTAGGTCACAAAACTACAGACTTTCCAAATTTCCTCCAAAAGACAGAACACCACCTCAAAGTGAACGTAGAGTGGCAGAAATACATAAAAGCTGGGGTGAAGCTTGTCCTCCTAAGACACTCTGAATGTTCTTTTCTCACATCCAGCTTTTAATTTCCCTTTTTTTTCCCTTCAAAATTCAGCTCAAATCCCACCTTGGGCAGGTGCCTGCTTTGCTGCTAGCCTTCCCTTCTGAGAATAGCTTCCATCTACTTGGTAAATATATTGACCGTTCATTATTACTGACATGTTGTCTCCCCATTACAATGGGAGCTCCTTGAGATCAGGGGCTATTTTGCTTTTCTTTGTATACTCAACATTTACCACAACACCTGGCACATAATAAGTGCTTAATAAATGAATGTTGACTGACTGAATCACTAATTCTCTAGACACACGAAAAATTGTCATTAAGCCTCCACCTGAAAATCTCCATTGATAGAGTTAACAGCCTCTTAATTCCATGTATTCTATCATTGAACAGCTTTAATTACTAGGAAGCTCTGCCTTAGAGCAAAATGAAATTTGCCTTTCATCTCCCTTGTATTTTCTGGTCCTATTTCTGCAATCTGATACCACACAGAACAATTGTAATGGCTATTCCATGTGACCACTCGAAAGCTCTCTCATGGTGGTCATCTTGTCCCTCCCTGCCCAGGTCTCAGATCTCCCGCTGATCCTCCCACTGCTCTTTGGAGATGTCCAGGCAAAGGCCGGACGGCCCCTTGTGCAGTCTGTTACGCTGGGAGCTCCATGGATGTGGGGGTTTGATTACTTGCTTGCTGAGTCTCTTCCAACTTTCCAATTCTACGATTCCATCACTCTCATTTTCCTCATAACCCTCCTCTGTAAATGTCCTTCTTCATCAGAGTAGGCCCAGTGCTATACAATACTACCAAGGAGCCTGACTGGGGCCTTGCTCTGAACTAGCCTAGTACCGAGTTAACTTTCTGGTGGGGAGAGCTAGAGCTAAGGGCCTCACAGGGAGGGGATGTCCTGATACCCATACCAGAGCACCGCTCACCCTGGTGGGCAGTCCCTTACTGGAGATAGTTTTGGTTTTAACATTCAAACAGGAGCAGCCATATCAAGAGACAGGCTTAGTAGCTACAGAAAACAAAGAGAACCATGAGATAGGTTGAAGGTGGCGAGATTCAAACCACCAGGGAATTTGGTTGAGAGTACAGACTGTCTTGCCTGAGGAGTACCCCAACGTGTTAAAGAGAACACAGATGTTTAGAGGTAGAAAGGACTTCCTATAACTCCCTAGTATTTTGCCTCCATTTTATATAAGAGGAAAAGGGACCTATGAAAGGGAGGTTATAGAGTGGTCTACCTGTATCCTTTTACAGATGGGGAAATGGAGGTCCACAGAGGTGCAGGGATATACTCAGGGTCCTATGGTCACTTGGCAGTGATGCCCAGGACCTTTGTTCCCCAAGCCAGACTGCTGATCCCCAGAGAGAGCAGAACCCCCAGCCGTGGCAGAGTCTGTAAAATCTGAAAGTCGGCAACTTTTGGGGACAGCCAAGTCTGAAAAGGTTGCCAGACCCAAAAAATGACCCTGTCATATCCCCATTGATTCAGATATTAATTTAGCATTCTTTTTTAGGGGGGAATGGGGTGGAGGACGAAGAGAGGTCTGGATTTGCGACATCACTGGTATAGCGAGCTCCAAGTGAGCAAACACCCTCTCCCAGTGTAGATCTGCAATGATTCTGCAATTTATAATCGTAAGAGCCAACAGCAGTGCTGAGAAGTAACTTGTGAGGATCACATAGGGCAGCTAGGTGGTGCCATAGTGCATAGAGCACCGGGCCCGGAGTCGAGAAGATGAGTTCAAATCTGGCCTCAGACACTTCCTAGCTTTGTGACCCTGGGCAAGTCACTTCACCCTGTTTGCCTAAGTTCCTCATCTGTAAAATAAGCTAGAGAAGGAAATAGCAAACCCCTCCAGTGTCTCTGCCAAGAAAACCCCAGATGGGGTCATGAAGACTCAGACAGGACTGAAAGGACTCAAAACAACAACAGCAAGGATCATGTAATGAGCACGGGTCAGAGCTGGGAGCTGAACCCAGGTGTCTCTGGGTCTGTAACCACCACGCCACGAGGTGGCGCCATCTAGTGTTCCTACGACTTTGCAAAACAGAATGACTGACAGCAGTTTTCTAGCCAGGGAAGAGAAACCACAGCCCATCGACCACTAGCCCAGGATCCTGCCTAGACGGCTGGCCTACCAGGCCATCAGGAAGAATCCAAACAGAAGCCTGTGGAGGTCGTTCTCAGGACTGACACCATGTACCACATGTACCACATACAGAGAGAGGAGACAGTCTGGGGGGTCTTGGCTGTTCCATATAGTCCAGAGATAAGAGATGCACTGGCTTAGGCATAAAATGTCCTAGATCATAGAACTGGGAGTTGAAAAGGACCCGACACACCATCTTGTCCAATCATTTCCTTTTACAGATTAAGAAACTATAACCCAGTGAGGGAAAGGGACTTGTCACATAAGGAATAGGAAGGGGGCACAGCTGGGCTTCAAACCCAGGTCTTCTAATTCTGATTTCAACACTCTTTTCCACTACACATTAGAATGCAATCCAATCTCAATTCTTTACCCCTGCCCTGTTAAGAAAATACACATTTTTAAAACACTTCCTTGTCAAAAACTATTATACTTAGAAGATGACAGTAAAGAAGAAGAGAGAGGTCTGAGAATGATATAAAAACAGATACACAACATAAGCCATGGGGTGTGTGTGTGTATGTGTGTGTTGTGTGTGTGTGTGCGCACGTGCATGTGTGCCTGCCTGGATTAGCCTATCCCCAGCTATGTGGCCAATACAAGCTTCATTCATGCACACAAACTTTCCCTGAGAACATTAACTATACAAGCAGGGCAAATTCTCTGACTGGATGCTTTACATCTTACCCTTGGTCAGACCTTGCTCTGTGTGGAGCCTGGGCCTAAGGATCAGAAGAGCAGAAGGGAAAAAGCAGGATTGGCACTTACGTTGATCATAGCATTGGAGGTGATCCGAAATAGGGTGGCCCGCTCATTAACTGCTTTTAGCTTCTCCCCACTTTCGACAGGTATTTTCAGGCTCTCCAGCTCGCTCAGCGACCTCTGGAGAGCTGCCCCATGTTTTGAGATAAGGTCATTGCAGATGCTTAGATCATCCAACTTGCCCGAAAGAACGCTTAAGGTGTTCTGCAGTTCACTCTTGTCAGAATGGGTGGGTACATCCTCATCACCAGAGTCATCTGTGTAGGGAGGAGAGGGGGAAAGATGGTTTCCATGGTTACCACTGGACCACTTTCAAACATCAAGCCTACTTGGTCAAAGGAAAGAGAGAGAGAGATGGCCTCGGTCAGCCAGCAGCCAGAGCTTCAATCAGAGCTCCACCCAATTCTAAGTCCCCTGAGCAGCTTCTTCTCTGTGTGTAGCCTGGGTCTCATCTCTGCTGCCAGACCTATTATCCAGGCTCTGGGTGCAGCTTGAAAGTGGCTTTTTCCACCCCACCCCCATGCCATCTCTCCGAGCTGTTCACTTCCTGTGCTTGACTCCTAGAATCCAACACAAGAGAAAAGCATTCCAGAATACTGTTCTTTCATCAGAGAAGGGAAGATTTCAAAAGAACAACTACTCTGTGTGGTCTGCAAAAAGACGCAAAGCTCTGTTACTTGCTCCCCGGGTAACCCTGGACAAGCCACCCTTTTCTCTGGGCCTCAGTTTCCTTCTCTGTAAAAACAGTGGATGGGATAAGGTCATCTCTAAATCCACTGACTCTAATGAAACACCAATCAGGCCTGTACAGCCCATCCCTCTTTATTGTTCTGGATATCCTATGTGAAGCAGAAGGCCTGGCTTTGAGACCCGGCTGTCACTTCTGCTGAGTCTCAGTTCCCTCTTTTGTTTAACATGTCCAATAAGGAGCAGGAGATGCGAGGCTATAGTTAAGAAGAGAAGTTCCGGCTGGAAAAATCTTTTGTAAAGTGCTGTAGAAATTGTAACAATAACTCACACCTTTCTTCATAGCAACTCTGAAATGTTATCATCTCCATTTTAAAGATAAGGAAACAGAGAGAATTAACGTCTTTTCACATACCTAGTATGTAGCTGAATACAGACTCAATCAAAAACATTTAATTAAATGCCTAGTAAGTATCAGGCTTTGCATTGAGCACCAGAGAAGAAAAAAACAGAAGTAAAATAGTTTCTTCCAGTAGTTTACATGCTATCCAAAGAGATACCATGTACACATATAAGTATATATGAAGCAGATATGAGAAAAATAAGAATTAATTGGGGGGGGTGAGAGGAAAGGCATTATCAGCTGGAGTGATCAGAAAAGGTTCCCCGTAGAAATAGGTACTTGAGCTGAAGGGAGTGCATTCTGGCTCATGAAGGGTCATGCAGTACAAAGAGCCACTCCCCAATTGATAAATGGAAAAAAGTTATGAATAGGCAATTTTCAGAGGAAGAAATCAAGGTTATCAATAGCCACATGAAAAAATGCTCGGAATCACCAATAACTAGAGAAATGCAAATTAAAACAACTCTGAGGTACTACCTCACACCCATCAGATTGGCTAAAATAACAAAAAAAGGAAAACGACAAATGCTGGAGAAGAAGTGGGAAAACAGGCAAACTAAGGCACTGCTGGTGAAGCTGTGAACTAATACACCCATTCTGGAAAGGAATTTAGAACTAAGCCCAAAAACCTATCAAACTGTGCATACCCTTTGACCCAACAACCACCATTTCTACCCCCTAAAGAGATTAAAGAAAGAGAAAAAGGACCCACATGTACAACAACATTTATAGCCACTCTTTTTGTGGAGGTAAAGAACTGGAAATTGAAGGGATGTCCATAAGTTGGGGAATGACTGAACAAGTTACTGTATATGAATGTGATGGAATACTATTGTGCTGTAAGAAATTATGAAGGTTTCAGAAAAATCTGGGAAAGCCTGTAAGAAATGCACAGTGAAGTGGACAGAACCCAGAGTTCTGTTATGTTACTGTTACATGGTAACAGCAATATTGTAAAGATAATCAACTATGGAAGACTCAGCAACTCCTTAACAAAATGATCCACCACAATACCAAAGGATTCATTGTAAAACGTGTTGTCCACCTCCAGATGGAGATAAGTTCTCTACTGCATATTGAAGCATAAACTATAACTTGTTCAGCCATTTCCCAATTGATCAGCATCTCTTCAATTTCCTCCAATAGGAATATGACAGAATACTACTGTGCTCTAAGCAATTATGAAGGGCATGGTTTCAAGGTGTGGGGGTGCGGAACATGGCTAATGTGAAAATTTGTTTTGCACAACTACACATATTTGTTTGTAATGGGTTTTGTTTTTCTTTCCTTCTCAGTGAGTGAGAAGGGGGTAAGGGTAGGAAGAGAATTTCAAACTGAAAAAAAAAAGAATAAAAAGTCTGTTTTAAAAAATAATTTTCTTAAAAATGAGAGACTACATTATTATCACACATAAGATAAGCAGAGATGGACAGAAAGGAATTGCTGCTAGTAGCTGTGGGGAATGGAAAAGTCTTCCTGGAGGAAGTAACCTTTGAGATGAGCCAAGTGCTCGAAGGAAGCCAAGGATTCTAAGAATTAAAGGTTGGGAGCGAAAGCATCTCAGGCATAGGAAATAACCTGTGTGAAGGCTCTGATGTGGGATATGGAGCATGGTTTTCAAAGAACAATAAGCAGAACAGTATGGCTGGATCAAAGAGTACATGGAGGGGGAAGAATGTTAAAGACTGGAAAGGCGAGGAGCCAGGCTGTGAAGGATGCCAAAGAATGACCTTCACATTTAATTTCACAGGCAGTAGGGGAAGGACACTGGCGGACCTGTGCTTCAGGAAAATCGCCTTGGCAGTAAGCGGAGTCCGTTCTGGAGCATGGAGAGACTTGAGACAGCAAGACCAATGAGAAGTTGATCTGTGATAGTCCAGATGAGACGTGATGAAGGGCGGTGGTTCTAAGTGGAGGGAAGATGATATATGTGGGAGACACCACAGAGAAAGAAATTATAAGACCAGACAACTGACTGGATATTGGGAGGTGGGGGGGGAAGGGAAGACAGAGACAGAGAGATCAAAGATGAAACTAAAGTTGTAGACTTGGGGGGGGTCTTAACCAAGGGATGATGGTGCCCTTGACAAAGTTCAGAAGAAGGTGAGATAATGAGGGGTGATGTCAAAAGGATGTGAGATGAAGAGGAGGTGATAAGAGGTAACAATCAATAGAATCAGGTTTTTTTCCGGTAAAAAATGAAACAAGGTCATCAGATGAGAGTCAGAAGAGAAAGTGGCATAAAAGGATTAAAGAGAGAAGAAAAGGTTTGAAGCATCTATCATTATAGCTGAAATATGGAATCAATTAGGAAGGAGTAGTGGGATTGCCTTGAAGTGAGAACCCAGTTTAAATTAGTTTATATAAATTTGTGATAGACCCTGTCATTATGGATTGGTGGTTTCCTCCAGTTTCATTTGGCAGCATGTGAGCAAAAGTGGATTATGGGAGGAGTAATCTAGAGTTGAGGGCCTAGCAAAGTATAAGTAGTAAGAGAACAAAGGATTCAAGAGTACAGTGCAGAGTTTAACTAGCTCACCAAAGGATTAAGATTAGGTGGGAAGGAAAGAAGGTATGTAGCCAGAGGAAGGGTGATGGCCTTGGATAGTACTTTTGGAGGTCTGGATGAACATGAACAATGGGTTTAGAAGGAGTAAGGAAAATGGAAAAATAAACGATTATGATCAGATAAAGGAAATTCAAAGTTCTTGATCATGGAAGTAGAAAATGTGTGGGTGACACAAGGTCAAGGGTAGATAGGACCATATCTGTGTTTAGTTTAAGTGGAACAGAGGAGTGGTCACAGGAGTTGAGGATTTTGAGGAACTTGGAAGTTAGGATATTTGAGGGAACACCAAAATATACGCTGAAGTCCCACTGAATGAAGTAGGGTAGAAGGTGAAACTGCAAACCAGGCACTTAACTGACTGGGAAAGGAAGGAGAACGTCCTGGGAGTCAGTAGATAACAGCTACCCAGCTACCAGAATATGAATTGGGTGATAGATTTGGAATGAATTAACTTCAAAGGAGGTAAAGTTGTTGAGTCATAGTGGTAGAGGATGAGGATGGAAGTGGCCATGAGGAATAAAGAGCATTCCAACCCCTATTTCATGATCAGTGTATTAGGAGTATAAAAAAACGGTATTAAAGGATGGCTTAAGGATACAGTGTCATTTGGAGGGAGACATGTTTCTGTGAGCACCAGAAGACGTGAGAGGCACAAAGAAGTCTAAAATGAAGTTTGAGACAAATTACGAAGCAGAAATTCCAAAGGGCACAATGCAAATTCCCTTCCTGGTTGTGCTTCTTACTTTCTGGTGTTCAACATCACTCTTTCCCTACAGTCTCACCTTGAGCATCTCTCTGTTATGCCAGCCCCTTTCTCCCATGGACGAGGTTCCTCCTGGGACTTCTCCCTTTCTGGGCTCCAACACTACGTCCCCACACTGGCTCCTTCACATACCCCCTTGGTTTTGTAGCTCCCTTCTATGTGCTCTCTTCCCCCCATTAGAATGTAAGCTCCTCGAGGGCAGAGCCTGGTCTTTCTGCTTGCGCTTGTCTCCTGGGTGCTTAGTAAGTTGCCTAAGTCTAAGAGCTTCCTTAGTCTGTCACTCAAGTTCCCAACCTGCCTTTTGAGATTTCCCTTCCACTACTCTTCCTCACACACTCCGTCTGTAGTAAGCCTAACTAACCACACACTGTCTCCTGTGTGTGTCCCATGCTTTATTGCTTAAACAGCTTATTTATTTTCTGAGCCGGAAATGCCCCTGCCACCTCATTTGCCTCTTGAGATCCCAACCCTTCTTTGAAGTCCTGATCAAATGCCAACTCCTCTGGGAAGGCTTCAATGATCTGCCCAGTTAGAAACGCTCTTTATCTTGGGAAGACTTTTATGTACCAATGAAGAATGAAGTAAGCACACCAGGAAAACTACTGATACAATGATCACAACATTATGAGAAAAACAACTTGGAAAGACTTTGCAATAACCAAATCATGATTCCAGATGACTAATGTTGAAGCAAGTCTCTTTGGTGGAAAGGTGATGGATTGTAGAAGCAGAAGAAGACATTTTCAGACTCTATCATTACAATGTCTTTTCCCTCACTGTACTTTTGGTATGAGAGAGCTTTCTTTGGGGGAAGAGGGGAGAGGTGAATGGCTGA